TCGTGGTTCTTGCTGACCCGAGGCAGGCGGGCATAGACTCCCTTCTCCGCAAGATCTACGAGATTTACTCTGACTTCGCCTTGAAGAATCCTTTCTACTCCCTGGAGATGCCCATCAGGTAGGGAGAAGCCCGCTTTTGATAATGCGGCTGCAATCCCTCACCACTCTCTGCCTGTGCAGTAACAGATGCTGACAGCCCCTCTGTTTTGTGGCAGAGCAGACCCAGGGCTTGAGGGAAGAGGGAGGACACAGCACATGGCTGCGGGTGCTGCTCCGCCGGGGAAGTGGGAGGCGCTCCTCCTCGGCATGAACTCTGCTGCCCTAACATTACACTTGAGCCCATATAAGAAGTTTAATTAATGGCCAGGCCAAAGTTTGACAGCAGCAGGTCACGGTCTCATGACTTACAGAATCTCTCCTTGAAGAACATGGAGATCTTGCCTTTATTAGCCTGTTCCACAGGTAAAGTCACCCCCTTCTGCTTTTCTGTTTCAGATGCGAGTTGTTTGATCAGAACTTGAAACTTGCTCTGGAAGTGGCAGAGAAAGCCGGACCCTTCGGACCTGGGTCGTAGAGAAAGCCTCGCCTGTTGCACTGAGTCTTCTCTCTCCCTGAAGAGTAGGGCCTCTCAGAGAGCTCTCTCCTTCACACCAGAGACTGCATAGCCCCCAGACGTGCTCCACTATCTCCCAAGATACTTGTTTATCCCCCAGTTGTGAAATTTACCTTTAACAGATTAGTCAGGAGTGTTTACACAGGACCACAGAGGCTTATTCTGCTGTGCCCTCAAGTGAAGAAAGAAGGCAGGGCGCAGGTCTGCAGCATTACTGCAGCTCATGGCTTGCTTTCGTCTCAGAACTGTACATATGTATTTTTCCTGTATAGCTCTAACTTACGGTTTTGCAAAGGGTTTCTATCTAAGAGTAATAAATGTTCCTTGAAGAGCTGGATGGCTGTTTTCTGTTGGCAGGGCGAATTTGCACCACTAGCACCCTAAGAGGATAAGCAGGTTTGGGTGGTTCTGCCTGCACCGCTCTCCCTAAGACAACCAGAGCCCTTGTGACACTGCTCCATTTTTATTTCACATAATAGAAGATCAGAGAATTAAGTACAAAATGTAATTCACTTCCACTGTTTTAATTAAGGCTGGCTACCTACTCTTGCAACCACGCTGTTCAGCAAAGTACCTGCGTGCACGTTCTTCACGATAACTGCCTCTTCCAGAGCCCTAAAGCAGTAAATCCTTTTGGGGAAAGCCAAGAATATTCAACAAAATCCCAGTTAAAAAACTGACTATTTATTGCAAACAGTGCTGGGCCTGACTGCTGCAGGCTGCCACTGGTGGCTCTGCTAAGGCTGACTCGGAAGTAGCCTGAGCTCGTTCCCACAGCCGAGAGATGCAGCTCTTGACCAAAACCACCCTAGACTACACTCTATGAACTGACAAAACACAAGCCAACGCTAAAAATGTGTTTTTCCAGAGGCCTGGAAAAAACCTGCAGCTGCTGTCACAATACCTGCTGCTGGGTGGGTTTTCCAGGCTGATGGGCAGAGCGCTCCCTGCATGCTGCCATGGCAGCAGCTGCTTCCCTTGCAAATCATGAACACTGTACACAGAAATGGCACTGGGCAGGATCGGTTCAATAGAAGGAGCTTCTCTAAATGCTCTCCCCTAAAGTGCCAAGGATTTCTTGGAAACGTGCCTGTTTCCAGGTGCTGCGAGAGCCCTGCCGCAGCACCCCACCGGCGTTCTGCTGCTCCGGGGCAAAACACCTCCCTCTCTCCTAACAACTAATCCTGAGTCAAGCTAAAGCCACGCTGCTCTCAAACAAGCCATGAGGCCCAGCTCTAACCACCACCACCCACTGCTGTCGCTGTTCCAGGGCTGAGAGAGAAGCAGAATCGACAAGTTAATGGCCAAGACAAACAGCAGGGACAAAACTCAAAGTGACAGCACCTGAAGCCAGTCATTTGGAGTCCTTTTAGCGGAGGAGCTCGGGCTGCAAAGCCTGCGAGCTTCCCCAGCATAGAACTGTGAGGAGGTGCATTAAAATCATCGCCAGTGTAAACTACCTGAATTATCACATCTCGAGGGAAAAAGTGATCAGCAGCAGGAACCTTGTGCCCTCTGGCAACTGACAGTGAATGAGAAATTGAGATTTTTATCTAGGTTGCAGCAATAGATAAACTCACTCCAGTTAAACAAAAATCCGAGCATCGTTCCCGTCGGTGAGGGAGCCTCCTTTTCACCAAGCAGCTTATCCTCAGTCAGCTTTCCTGGGAATCCGGCCCATCTTGGTGCGGATGTTGCGCAGTAAGAAGAAAGCCACTGTGCTGCCAGTGCAGGTGATTTCGGCTACCCAGAAGGCTGTGGCCCAGCTGTAGTGCTTGGCAATGGTACTGAAGGGTAGTCCAGCCAGAAACCCCCCAACTGCAAGGAGAAACAAGCAGAAAACCAGCAATGCTTATGCGCCTCAGTTTGATCTGCTGATACTTGGTTTTGTACGTGTAGATTTCTCAGGCATGGTCTGAACTTTAAGTGCAAGGCAAAAGCCAGTCAGGCATAGTCGGAAGCATCCCTGAGGCTCCCAGCTCTATTACCTCCACTTCCCACGATCGGGAGCTTGGCGCCCAGGAGCAGGCAATGCTCCAGCGAGAACACACGCGGGTTTGGTTTGGTTTTCAGGGAAAGGGGCACTACTCACCGTTGGCCATGAGGGCCACTATGGCATGGGAGGTGCCGCACAGGTTGGCGGGGGCGCTTTCGTTGGCAATAACCCCGAACAGGGCGATCGGCCCGTACGAGGAGAACCCGAACACAGCTCCCAGAGTCAGGATCCACAGCTGTAAAAACACGTTAAGATCAGAAACAGGATCCGTGCACCCTGCCCTGTCAGTCAGCAGCTGCCGACCAACCACAGATGCTACGTGCAGTACGAGCGAGTTTTGACATTTTCAGGCTGACACCGACTCACTGGCCTGCTGACAGAAGAGCTCAGGCCTGTGACAGACTCCACATGGTGTTCTCGGCCACCGTGAGCCCCCCTCTCTCCCACAGTTATGCCTCTACCCTGTCTGCACACGACTGGTGCTGT